GGAGCCGTAAAATACTTAAGAATGAAGCACAAACCATGATTTCCGAGCTGTGTAAATGTTGAACTGACTTTCTTCACCAATATGAGTAGCTGTACGTAAAAGTAACATTTGAAAATACACAAAAGTACAACTCAATCCAAATTGTACCGAATCAGGCTAAGTAAATATGGCTAGTCACTACCCACCTCTGACATGAAGCCTAAGCTGACTTTGCATACTGTAGTAATGTTAGTGGGCGGTATATTCTTTAACTGACAGTTCGTTAACCCACAGAGTGGGACCAGGCCTGTTCTCTGTATCACTGTGATGCTGCTCCTCGGAGCGGCCTGGTCTAGAAGAAGGTGCGACTACTCCATGATCCTTTCCACCTACACGCAACTCATCTTTCCTGAGCTCCAGAGTCTGGTGGGTCACTTATGAAATTCGTGCTGCACCATGGTCATTAGAACCTTTCCCAAGAACATGAGCATAATTCTTAGCAAAACAATGGGGCCAAATAACGCCCGAACGGCAGTTGCTGCTAGTATTTTGTTGGAGAACATGCTGGTAAAGAGGGCTGTTCCCAATATTAGATGGGTGTTTCCACTAAGCTGTATGTGAGCGAGTGCTGCCCTCTGCTGGGAAAGATAAGGATTGCTATACCCAGTTATGGTGATGGTAGACCGTCTGTCTTTTAATCCCATGTCTTACATTTACCCCTTCCCCTTGCTTTCAAGTGTCACCTTGCCCCTTGGAACTGAGTTACAACGCATAGTGGTTGATATCTTCCCCTACGAAATGGGACAACCCTCAAAAAAACAAAAAACAAAACATTACTTCATTTACAGGCTACTAACGGTGCTCTGTATGCAGTGATAGCAGAGAAGGGGGTAAAGTTCAGCAACCTCGCTACTGGTCTTTAGTTAAATTAGGGCATCATATGCGTTCAAAGAGGGGAGTGCGGTAATTATTATCGCCCACTCCTAATTGGTGAGATGAAGCTTAAGTCAGCTTTTTCGGCAGCTTCTTGTTCAAATATTTCTGTTCCACCTTAAATGGAGCAGCAGCTACATTCTGACGCTTCAGGAGTCAGTACTGCAGGACTATTTAAGGTGGAACGGGAAATTTAGCTAGCTAGCTATTGAGACATTAGCATACTATTAGTGATATTTAATGCTTGTTATATACTCCGTTTGGATTGTGCCTCTGAAAAACCTCCATTTGGAGGGCCATGTAACTTAACCCTAACACTTCGCCCTACCCCTCTATCTCAACAAAAACTCGGAACACCCTACCCCTAGGTGTAAAAGCGCAAAACGGAGGGCTAAGGGCTAAGGGCAAGAGGTGAAATGGGAATGGGCCTTGGTGTCGGTTTCCCGGCCTAAACCCAGACTACATACAATTTGGATTATAGATTCTTAATCAAAAGGAAAATTTAGTCCAAGCCTAAACTTATTCCCTGTCCGGGCAACAGACACCAAGAGTTGTATTGTATTCTGTGTGTTAATAGTGAATCTATTCTTAAAACATAGACAGTACCTTTTGTAATTGTACCTTATTCTGTTATCCAGAATTTGACAGGCCCTTTTGAAACATCTACAGAAAACGACCGTTGTCCTTCTAGCAAGGTAAACTCCCTCATTTGTCTTATACATCTCTGTTATGCAGTGCTCACCTTTTATTGCTCAAAATGTTATAATTAAAACAGAAAATAAGGGTAAAGACATAATATATGTCAATGCAACTTAAAATATAATTATTACTTTAGTTGTTTAGTTTATAAAAACAAAGTAATATTAAGCTGCTTCAGGGCTTTGAACTAGCCTACAGTTTGTGAGGCCAAACCATTGCTGAAGGAATAATGAAAATGCAGTGCTAAAGTGGGATTCCACTGATTTTTCAAAACTGATGCATAATTCAATGTCTGAGATGTAAAGTTTTTTCATTCCGAGTGATATGATGTAAAAGGGTTAATTGTAGAGAAACTTACTGTAACATTTTACTATACAAAACCACCAGTGACAGTTAAAGGGTATTCAGTGAACAGTGCAAGTGTTTTCTGATATGGAATTCAGTTGATGGGTCATGTATATTGTATATGTATATACAGCTTCAGATTTCTCTCAGACGATCAATCCATTTTATTTTAAAAAACACACCTGTTGTTTTTAAAAATGTTGAGATGTATTTTTGTCTTTAGGTGACTCGCATTGTGCGATCCATTTATGGCATGACTGAGCAGTTTGCATGTCTCAGTGAAGGCCAGCAGGAAGACAGCAAGGTCGGCGTTGTGTCCAAGATGGGCCAGCTCATTAAACTTTACTGCAGAAAGACATCCATGGTAAGGAGCATCTACTATAACGCTTATAGCTTATAAGCTTATAATCATTTAAGCTTTTGGTGAATTTGATGAGAAGTAATGAGTAATTTACTCTGTTGCAGGGAAATGGACGCAATGCTACGTCCTGCAAACCTGTCCAGAGAAAGAAAGAAAGAAGACGGCGACGGATGAAAATGATCGAAATGCTTATAAATTGCTGGCAGAAGTTGCAGAGTGCTTACATACAGGGTTGAAGTTTTGGACAAACCATGTCAGAGCATGCAGATAAATACTGATTTTTTTTTTCTTGCCTTCATTGATGTAAATGATCGGGGAGACAGGTTTATTGACTGCATTGAACATATCATGAGAAGCGCCTTACTAGTCAACAATTTTTAAATTATGCTACTTTATTACACCATTCACATAAGCACATACTTATGAAAGCTCACACTTCATGTTGTTGTACATCACGTGTATTTCACATGTCGTCTACATTGATGGTGGGATATAGTGGGGGAAATGCAACCCGCCCCCTCCCCACCCCAAACTTTAAGAAAAAAATCTACCAAACAAAAAAGGAAAAACACATTCCGGAAAGAAATATTATTGTGGCCTACTTTGTAGCGTGTGCCCAAGTGAGGACTAAAGGTGTGCTGTATTCTAGTCCAGTACAATGGCACATTCCTCATTGTTTCTCTTTGTGAGCTAAATTTTAACATTTGCCTAACTGTAGGCTACCTTCTGTAAGTCTCCCCTTTACTGTTATAATTATATACAAGAAATATTAATAGCTCATTAATCATGATATTGGCCAGTGTAAATAGTTACAGATGTATGCTTGCTTAGGAGCAGGCCAGCTAATTAGCATGTTGATATTAGATAGCAGATGTCTAGCCTGAGTTATAATTTGTGCCTAATTTAACAATTTCTTCTGTTCATTTTCTTGAAAAACTAATTTGTTTTAAATTTATTTCACATGTATTACATAATACACTATTTTACATTTAATGCCTGTGGAGTGTTGAGGGACAAGGGGCAATTTGGCTCATACAAAACCCCTTTGTAAAAACAGTTCTCTCTCTCTTTTTTAACCATTTCTCCTTTAGTCCTTCTGACGGTGGCTAAATCTAACTTAATCACATTATAGTTTATACAAAATACTTTTGAAATGATAGTCTGTTTACCTCAGAATTGTTTTGATTGAACAGGTTTGCGTTATGGGTCAACAAAAATTTCTAGCTGGCTAATGTAAGTGGCATTCAAAGAAAAGGTTAAAATGAAATTTGGTGGCATAAACAGGTAAATAGGTAGCCTTGGGAGGGCAAGGGGTATTTTACCTCACCATACTCATCTGCACATAAGACCAAAATAACAAGCCTAAAAAACAGTACAATGTTTAGGCTCATAACACTGTATTTGTAGAATTGTCTCAGTGGTGTACACGGTATTTGTCAGTTCAGCATTGTTCTATGATCTGTTCTGAATGATTTATGAATGTGAAACTGCACAACTTACAGTAACATAAATAAGCTGCATTGGTTCTTTTTAGTTGTACTGTTTTTTTGAAAGCTATGACCTACACATATTGTAACGTTCTCTGCAAAAGCTGTAAGTATAGCTTAACAATATATACTTTATACACACACACAAATACAAATATACAAATATAAGCTATTTTTAAAAGTAAAATTCATATAATTCTGGGTGTGTTTTGGATGTAGTAAGATAGTAAGACTATGTGATTTCACACAGTATTTGCTGAAATTTAATTTTAATGTGTTATATGTGATGAGCAGTTGAGATTGGGTAGCAGTTTTTTTTTGGGGCTTGGTGGTTATCCAGCTAAACTAAAAGTTGCTTTGTAAAATACCCCTCAGAATATGTGGCATTTGAATGTGCCTACCAAGCCATGCTTGCCATGTTTTATTGTTTCAGTGGCTCACTATAACCTGTATTTGGAAACCCAGATGCAGAGGGGTTATTGCCCTAGTCCTGGTCCTGGAGATCTACCACCCTGGAGAGTTCAGATCCAACACACCTGGCTCATATAGTCAGATGCACCTGAAGACCTTCATTACTTGGATCAGGTGTGTTAAATTAGGGCTGGAGCTAATCTCTGCTTGATGGTAGATCTCCAGGACCAGGATTGGGCACCCCTGCCCTAGTCATAAAATAAGCTCTTGTTAGCCTAATCCACTCTTTCTTAACCCTGATCCAGGAGGCTGACTGCCCTGTACATATAAGTGTCTTCCCTTCTCTCAACACACCTGATCCAACTAATCAGCTCATTAACAGCCTGTTGTTTAGTTAAAGTGGATGCGTCAAGGCAGGGAAAGCTCTAAAATATGCGAGACAGTGGGCCACCAGGACCAGGGTTGAGAAACACTGGCCTTTGGAAATAGTTGGAAACAGCAGCTAGAACCATTTCCTCTGTGTCTTTTCTTTCTTTTTGTTTATACAAGAGATTTTAGTTCTCCGGTGCTCCTTATTTATTTGGTACTGCCATGTTTCCATGATTCCATTTTCTTTTGTTCTTTCTCATATGCCTAAGATGTTTTTTTTTTTACCTTTTTAGTACATTTTACAACAAAGTATAAATAAAATACAATTAACACTTTTAATTTGGCACTCGTTATTTGCTTTCTGTTCTTTTGTAGACACTACTTTTATTTTGGTCCTATCGCTTTCGTCAGCTTTGCGTGTGCGCATGCGTGTTCAGCGCGCTTCCTGAATCAACAGCCTGCCAAATCGGAGAGAAATCCCGAATAAATGTAGCTTGAAAGTATTACATTGCATTGTTTTCCTCGCTCCTCGCAGCTTCATGCTCACTTACCTGTTTAGCACCATTTTTTGTGCAGCGTACCTGTCCCCGATCATCAGCCATGTCAAAGGAAAAGAGTTCACAGAGCAGGAGATGGCTAATTACAGGTGAATTTAACGCTATGCTGAGACAGCTGCTTTGAAATAGTGGTGTATTCCTAGCAAAGTGAGTTACAGTAACGTTGGCAACAGCTATAAAGTGTTAATGGGCATATTGTTGATTCTGTAGAACTGGTGCAAAATGTATCAGTGCGTGTGTTTTTTCTTATTAGCTTGCTAGGTTAATTTTTTTATTTAAACGGACTGTTTCAGCAAACCTTCTCCCCCCTCATAATGTACAGGCTGATAAAAGAACATTATGAAAGCTGTACAAACGTTAGTAACATTACTTGAGGTAAACATACTCTCCCCTGGAAATAACTGAAATCCAGAGAAAAACAGTAATGGAACAAGAGATATGCCTAAATTAAGTCTACCTGTATTGGTTTAGCTTCTGGCAGCGCTTGAAGTTATTGTAGTTCGGGCCATAATCTTGCAACATCTTGTCTACATGAATTTGACAGCCTGCTATAAAAGCCATGTCGTTGCTGTCGTGTGTCTTACCATCTGTGCTCATTCGGTTTAGGGGTGGACGATATGGTAGAATCACATTTTAAAAATACTATCAAACACTAATTGCGATGCTTTTTATTCAGTCTTTCACATAGCCTAGTTGCTGCGCTAAATCCAATTAATCAGGACTAATATAGCTTTCTTTTTAATGAAACGCAGTCGAACAGTGTTCTTTAAGTTCTGAAGATATCCACGATACACTCAGAAGAGAGTATTGTGACAATTTGTCGCGATAATGACAAAATATATTATCGAAAATATAAAATCTACAATGATAACTCTCCTTTAATAAATGTTCAAGCTAACCACTCACCATCTCCCCTCCTATAATCCTTTCTTTCTACAGAGACAGAATAAAGTCCATGTTCTACCATGCCTACAACAGTTATTTGGAGAATGCATATCCGTATGACGAGCTCCGACCTCTGACATGCGATGGACAGGATACATGGGGCAGGTAAAAGCACAATTACAAACCTTTAAATGTTTCTCATTCATTTGAATCATTTTGATAAACAGCAATGTTTGGGTAGTGACCAGCATGTAAGGGTGTATTCTAGTTGCTGCTGTTTAGTTTAGTTTTGTGAGCATGACTAAAATATCCTCTTGCATAATTGTAACAGGCTTAACATTCCTCTCCCTTCTCTGGCCTCAGTTTCTCACTCACTCTCATTGATGCCTTGGATACCTTGCTGGTATGAATTCTGTGTTTTAAAATTTGGTTGTATGAAATGAATAATTGGTTTTGTTTGCCAGTTCTAGTTGTGAGTCATGTTCTCTGCCTGTAATCTCAGATACTGGGGAACCACACAGAGTTTCAGCGAGTGGCCACCCTCCTTCAGGACACTGTGGATTTTGACATCGATGTAAATGCGTCAGTGTTTGAGACAAATATACGAGGTGAGGACCTTGTACGATGGCGTAACTAGGATCTCATGGGCCCCAGTTCACACACGCACATGATAAACAAATAAGGAATTAAATTGAAAGAGAGATGTAGGATAAGGGTTAAAGTGTATTATTATCATAACTAGCCATGATTCATGAGAGTACAACTGCATAGTGATATATCCAGGTTCCAATAAAGACATCAGGGAGCCTGGTGGCTATGGGCCCTAGTGCCATTACACTGCCTGAACTTATATAATTTACTCTTGGTAGAACTCATTTTTGATCCATGAGATTTATTCCTGATTCTGCTCATCTCAACAAAGCTAAATGGCATTTCATAGAATTGTATTCAGATTTTCTCAGCTATTTCATACATCCATGAAGACAAAAAGCATAAAGACAGAGGAAGATGTCACACTACATGTGCTAGTAAGCTATTCTAGGTTATATGGAAGAGCACCAGAGACTTCATATTGTCTGTATTTAATCTCTGTGGTTTATGTGAAGAGTTATTAGACCAAGTTTTCTTTCATGAAGACACTTTGTGAATGTTTTAGATTTTCTCAGTGGTTTAAATTTTACAGTTTTAACCCTAGTCTGCTCAAACCAAAATAAGACTGTTTGACCAAATAGGCATTTTATCTAATATCTAATCTCTGAACTTGTAGGCATAATGTCTCACATGTCTATGCTAATGTGTATCTGTATTTATCTATCTGCAGTGGTTGGTGGGCTTCTCTCAGCCCACCTTCTGTCCAAGCAGGCCGGGATGGAGGTGGAGGAGGGCTGGCCGTGCTCAGGGCCGCTACTCCGCATGGCTGAAGATGCAGCACGCAAACTCCTCCCAGGTGAAGAAATCTTAGTTAGCACACAGAGGCCAGCTGTAATAATGTTACTACCTAAAATGTGACAGTGTAATATGGGAATTGTATCAAGGAGAAGTAAGTGCGACATAGTCACATGAAGATCTGAATGATTTGTGGTGAATATCTTATTGAGATTTTTCTGATCAATATTGCAACTGCGATTTAAATGGTGATTATTTTCTATAAAAGTTTGTTTTATAGAAAATAATCAGTGTTTGCACTGAACATAGTGCACCAGACTGCCAGTTAGTTGTGGTTATGTTGTCACATACACAGTACGTGAGTGTTCTGAATGGTCTAATTCCTCTACAAGCAAGTCACAAGCTTCTGTTATTAGTATAAATTTCCCCATTTAAGACAACATGGTTGTCTTAAATATATTTGCTATAATAAAACTGTGGCTCTCACATGGAAAATTACGCTCCTTCACATAGTAATTTTGATATAAAAACAATTCATCTTTCATCAGTGACAGAGAGAGAGTGGCAGTGATTCAAGGTTGTTACACTAGTTTGCAAATGTTGCTCTGACATTCAGTTCACCCAAATAGACTTGTTTGTCTGCTTGTCAACTTTTGTCAGCTCAGGTTTAAGTCCTGGCATTTCATTGGCAAGTGAAATGTGTGCGCACATTGGATTTTTTTGTCTAAGCCTGCAGAGCAGTAACTGGAATGTACATGTTCATAGTGTCCTAAACCATGCTGTTATGTTTTATTTAAATTTCGTACATTTGCAAGGGCTTTAAAAAAGATTTCAAATGCGTTGCATTTGGCCTACTTTCAGTGTTATTTAAAAAGTTGTAATAAAAACATTGTGTATTTTTAAAACTTCTTTTTACTGATATCATGATCCCCAAAACTGTTTTTATCAAACACATGCATTGTTAGAAAAATAACCCTGTTAGTTAAATGTTAGTTATCTGAGCCCATTGCAAAAATAATTTTTAATACTACTTTTACTAGCAGTTGAATAGTCACCTGATATTATGGTTAAGAAACAGAACTTTCTTGCTCAGCTGTGCTGAACTGTAATGTTAGCTCAGCCCAGGCGGGCAAGATGCTTAGGTGCTTTTATTATCTGATTTGTTGGATTATTCTAACAAAACCAAAAAAAATCTTTGTTTTAGTTTTAGTTTATTTCTGTAAGAGAAGGTTTAGTGTAATTACATTAGTTTAACCAAAAAGAAATATATAAAATTATTGCATCCATAGGGCTCATGGTGAATCTGTCCTGTCCAGCATTCCACACTCCCACAGGTATGCCCTATGGCACAGTGAACCTCCTGAGGGGGGTTAATCCCACTGAGACCCCTGTTACCTGCACCGCTGGAGTGGGCACCTTCATCCTGGAGTTCTCCACCCTCAGCCGCTTGACTGGAGACCCTGTGTTTGAGGATGTGGCCCGCAAGGCCCTCAGCTCCCTGTGGAAGACCCGCTCTGATATCGGCCTGGTAAGATCTGCTCGCTTAGAGTGCTGCACAAAACCCACCTTTGCCCAAACTAGTTGTGCAGCTTTAGGGAGCCATAATCTCCTACCGACAGATACCATGTTTTTAATGTAACCATCATCAGGCAAACTGTGCCATCCTAAACAGAAGGTTTTTTACATGTGGGTGTGTGTGTTTGTAATTTTTAAGTAAAAACCTACTTTTCAGGTTGATATACTAAAGACATCACAGCATGTCTTTTTTTAACCTAACCTGTATCTGATGCATCTTTAGCAGACAGTTGATTACCATAGACAGTAATTTAGACACAATTCCCTGTATTTAGTAAGAAAGTAAAAGCATGTTAACTCAAAAAACACCTTGACTATAGAAGCCATTGGGCAGTTGCTAAATTCCATCAGTAAATGTTTATGCAAAACACACATATGTAGAACATTTTAATTTAATGAATTCTATAGTCTGGTCAAGTTTGCAGTCCTGGTCCTGAAGTACCATTACCCTGCACATTTTTTGTGCTTTCTTTGCACTAACACTTCTAAGTTATCATTATTATAACTCATATATATATGCCTCATTAGTAGCATCAGGTATGTTGGGTGTAAGACAACTCTGCAGGGCAGTGCATACTCAAGGACCAGGATTGAGAACCTCTGATCTAAAGTATTTGTTCATTAAGCTAAGTAAATTGCCCATATATGTGGCAGATTAGATCTGATTAGAGTCTCCAAAATAGTAACTTTAAAGTAATTATTAGTATTTTTCTGTACTGTTTGTATTTTTTGTAATTTATTTAAAAGGTACTAATTCTTTAGTCATAAGGGTCCTTACATAAAAAACACATAACTGCCTTTCAGGTTGGAAACCATATTGATGTTATCACTTCGAAATGGGTTGCGCAGGATGCAGGTATTGGAGCAGGGGTTGACTCGTACTTTGAGTACCTGGTGAAGGGTGCCATCATGCTGCAAGACGAGGAATTTCTGACTATGTTTCATGGTATGCCAGCACAGTGGTGATGACATACAAAAATTATTTTTATTATTAGGTTATTAAACATTGTTTACTACTATTATTTTTATATTATTTTGCCTGTAGATAATTCTCTCAAGTATAAGGAAAAAATGTAAAGCACTTGTTTTGTGCTGATGTTAGTCTGCACACCTGAAATGTTCTTAATTGTGCTGCAGAGTTTGATAAATCCATAAAGAACTACACAAAGTTTGACGACTGGTACCTGTGGGTGCAGATGCATAAGGGGACTGTTTCCATGCCTGTCTTTCAATCTCTGGAAGCATTCTGGCCAGGGCTGCAGGTAAGAGGATAGACATTTTTGTCTGCTCTAAAACCTAAGACCTAAAACCTGCCACCATAAACTTAAGAGGATAAGTATACGTATGTGTCTAGTAGAGCTGCAAATCTCTAATTGACCTCAAGAGGACTTGATTTCTTCAGAAAATGATTCAGTGCATCCTAATTCCGTTCAATTGCATTATTTTGGTTTCAAATTATTTTTTTTAAATACACTGAATATGCAAATATGATTGTCGGAACTATTTGCACAACAGTGAAAGAAAGGCAATAAGAAAACAATACACCAAATTTGAAAAAGTTCATACTTTACTATTATTCTAATCTGTTGTAATCAATTCTAACATTCCAAAATCTATGCAGTTAAGTTGCTGCCACCTTTAGATCAATACATCAGTTCTGGTTCTGGTAACTCTTTTGACATGACTTCTCATTTGTTTTACTGAACAATCCAGTGGCATTCTTGTTATACTAATGCTTGTGTCTAACAATTTCAGAGCCTAATAGGGGATATTGATAGTGCCACAAGGACGTTCCATAACTATTACACAGTGTGGCGTCAGTTTGGTGGGCTTCCAGAGTTCTACAGTATTCCTCAGGGCTACACAGTGGACAAGCGAGAGGGATACCCTTTACGTCCAGGTACCTGCACGTCACAAAACACTGATGGCTCATGGCGACGGCAAAAAATGGGTCAAAGGTTTTATATTTCTATGTACTTGAGGATTTTGGGCATGCAAACAACAGATTCCATTACAAATCTCTGTAATATGATGAATGTAAGTCTTCTGTGGTTTACAATATGGCAGTATGGCATCTCCTGCGTTTGAGTGTGCCATGACACTTTCTATGGTTGGGAAACCAAGGGAATTACTTGCATTCTTAGAAACGACTCCAGACTATGACTTGTCTCTATTTTGCAGCATGATTTTGTTCTCCCTGGGCATTCACATAGTTGTATAGTTAAGCCAAGTAGTTAGCATTCTCTTCTAAGTGCATAGAGCTTTCCTTTACCTAAAAAAATGTATAGCTATTGCCTGTCATACTTGGCTAGCAAAAAAATATATAAAACAAAAGTAATTGGTTTGTCATGCACTGTTTCAGAGCTGATCGAGAGTGCCATGTACCTGTATAAGGCAACAGGTGACACGACATTTCTTCAGATGGGCCGGGATGCAGTGGAGTCCATAGAGAAAATCAGCCGTGTTAAATGTGGTTTTGCCAGCGTAAGTACTGGAGTGCTGATCCTTTTAAGGTCTGTTTGCTCACCACAGGTTCAGTCTAGACAAGGTCTTATAATGTAAAATCTGTATTAACAGCACAGTTTAGTTTATCGCTTGGTTTCATCTGTCTCTACACAACAGCCATTAAACAGTGAGTTAATTTTTAAATTTGTATGTTGATGTACAGACAACATAAAAAAAGCAAAAAGTGGCTCTCAAGTGGTTCTCCCCAGTGAACAAAAAGTCTTGACCTTTTTGTTGAATATTTCTTCTGATGTCCTTTTTCTTACACAGGTAAAGGATGTGAGAGATCACAAGCTGGATAACCGCATGGAGTCCTTCTTCTTGGCTGAAACAATCAAGTATCTCTACTTGCTCTTTGACCCTGACAATTTTCTTCACAACAGTGGCACACAGTTTGAGCTGGGGGGTCCACGTGGAGACTGCATTCTTGGGGCTGGGGGCTATATCTTTAATACAGAGGCACATCCACTTGACCCAGCTGCCCTTCACTGCTGCAGCAAGAACCAAGATGAACGCAAGGAGCTACAGGACATCCTTCTCAGTCTATCAGAGCCTCTTAAATCTCCCGTTGATCAATCAGACGAGGCATCAGGGGAGAAGGATCCCTCCAGTGTTGTTTCCTCAGAAAGCATAGCATTACAGCCTGGAGAAAGAAGGAAAGCGCCAGTGCTCTCCTGCCCCACACAACCGTTCAGTGCCAGATTAGCAGTCATGGGCCAAGTCTTCACTGACAGCACATGAGCAGTCATTGTTCCTACTGTTTTATTTGTGTGAGCAACATTCTGGTTGTAGAATGAAGATGTAACATAATTGATATTAAGTATTTTTATATTTATTGAAGAATGGTTGATTTTTTCCACCTCATATTCTAAAAATGTGAAAAGGGCTTTACGGTTTAGGTTGAAAATTCTCAGTCTTTTTCCTGCTTGAAATAAAAAGGCAAAAATCCTGTTGGAAACTGCTGGTGCAGTTCTTAAATTTTTAATTAATGACTTGGAAACACAAATACTCATTCATGTACTCAAAAAGAAACAATTCTGAGCAGATTAATGGGCCACACAAGACCAAACATCTCAGCTTAGCTGGGATTTCGCTAATGCTAACGCTACTGTTTCTCACTAATCAGCCTCAGAGAGGAGAGAGTCTGGCCTCTTGTCTAAAAAGAGACTTTACACCTCACGTGAGGTAGCAACAAAGCTTAGGAACAAAGGAAGGGTTTATCGTGGACCCCCTACATTAACCTCCCCAACACAAATTTCCACGTCATGCTAATAGCTCTAACATGAAAATAAAATGTATATAACTGCAGCACTGAACAAAGTCCCTGTTATTTTCCAGTACACTCAGGATTAAAAGGCCCATGGTTGCTTTAACTTCTTCCTCTAATGCCAATAAGTTTATCTTGATCTCAGAGGAGAGCCGATTAGTATACACACACATTAGCTTAGGAAGGTTAATTCTCCAGGTGTGTTGGTTTCTCAGTAAGATTCTGGTTCAACAGGCCTGTACATTATTTACAAGCTCAGTGATGTATGTCATATGGTGGTGGTAAAACCAGTGTTTCACACATTCTCTCTATCACATGTTCAAGGCAGCAAGGTTTACATCTATTAGCTTGGCACTATTCCTTAGTCAAGGTGACTGAATGGACAGAAACCTTAGTCTTTTAAAGTTTCTTGAGACATAATATTTTAATATAAAATTTAAAACAAAGTCTTTCAAAAATACTAATTCATATTCTAAAATTAATATTCATTAGCTGTTTTGTTAACTGATTTAAATTTATTATTTAATTAAGAGCTACACACTGATGGTAATTTATATGGTCACACACATATACTACCGTTCAGATGTTTAAAATAATCAGTAGGACTTTAGGAAGCTATAAATAAAAATTATGAAATTTTAGTGCAGCATAGCCATAGAAAATTCTAAAATTACTTAGAAAGCTGTGCAATGTCAAGAATTAAGTTATAATAAAATTATTCTAGAATTTATCGTATTTCAACAGAGGAGATCAAACATCAAGGCAGAAAACCTTACCAAAAATTAACAGAATTAGATAATGAGTATATTGTCTAACTTGTCTGTTTACTGAATTCCTAATACACTGAATAAAACACCTAAAAATACCTTCTGCCAAATAACATTTAAGTCCTCAGTGTAGAGTTATTATTGCATATTAAATAACAGAAATTATTAATATGGCAAGTAATTCCATACTTATGAAAGGTATTGTGGCAAAAAAGGACTACAAATAGAGCAGTGATTTTATTCCAGCCCTATTCAAACCTTACGGGATTTGAAACATTTCTTTTTTTCCTTTTTGAAAGCGTTGGCTGGTGGCACGCTAAGCAAAGGGGTTGTTTGGAAATGGGGATCCATATTACGCACATCAAGACTTCATGGAGTGTTAATTTACAAGTAGTAGCACTATCATATATGCAGACTGAAAAAGGTCTGCTGTTTGAGGTTCCATATGCTGTGTTACCATATTGTGTGGCAGCTTAACTATTTAACAGTTTCTAAAATTAAAGACTTTGGGTAGACAAATGAATTTGCCCATTACTGGAGGTATATATAGTTCTTTTAAAGTATGTAACCAGTCATGTCTTCCATAGTGTAATCTCTATCTCCAAATCTCTCCCCTTATAATAATTACTTAAGCAGCTGTTGTCATGGATATTGTCGTTTGACCGTGTTGGAGCTGGTTCATGGTTTGGCATTGTATTTGAAGGCAGGTCTAGACTTGAGGAGATGCTATTTCGTTTAAGAATACCCTTCCTCTTCTTGTCATTGTCTGTCTCTTTACTGCTACTCTCCTTATCTTGGCAGATGACTTGACTACCTCCAGTGTCTTTCTGTCCTATGTCTGAATGTTCTAGTGAGGACTTGTATTCAGCCCACTTATATAGTTTCTTTAAAATGCCCTTCTTTGGTAGTTTGGCCAGTTGGCTGTGTGAGGAAGATGTTAGATGCAAAGACAGAAGTGTAGATTGATGATAGTTGGTGGAGTCAAGGTGCTGAATTGATTGCCTCTGCTTACGGCTCTTTCTGGGCACTGTACTGCCTCGTGTTCGATCTTCCACCACTACTGGGGGAAAGCTGTGACAGATATTGGTATGCAAAGTTGAAAGGTCAGATGTAGTAAAACCATTGTGGCCACAGTCGTTCACAGTGACTGTGCAGATTCGGTTAAGCCACCTGTGATTGGCAACATCCTCCACAGTGGCTCTCTCCTCTACATTGACAGTCAGCATCCAGCCAATCAAAGTATAAGCATCTGTAGGAAAACAGTACAGTATCTTTACTAAATCCTCAAGTATCTGGAAGATACTGACCCTTAATCATAAAAGGGGCATTAAAATGAGCACAGATTCAAATGACAAATAACATGGACAAGACTCTGCATCTGCTTTTGCTGCATGGGGAAAAAAAGTTTATTTACCTATTGTTCATGTAAATACATATCGCTGTTGTCGGATAAAAACCTCCAAAATAATAACATTACAGGAGAAGGAAAAAACATACTTTACTTTTAAAGTAAGTCAATGGAACCAGACTTTTCCAAATCACTTTGGGCCATTTCTTTGAGTCCATTCATCATGAAACATTTATACGATGTAAAGGGTAACAGTTATTTTCAAAGTACACTATATTGCCAAAAGTATTTGCTCGTCTGCCTTCACACACATATGAACTTGAGTGACATCCCATTTTTAATCCATAGGGTTTAATATGATGTCGGCCCACCCTTTGCAGCTATACCAGCCAAAATCTATTGGTATGCTGAAGCATTAAGAGTTCCTTTCGCTGGAACTAAGGGGCCGAGCTCAACTCCTGAAAAACAACCCCACACCATAATCCCCCCCTCCACCAAACTTTACACTTGGCACAATACAGTCAGATAAGTGCTGTTCTCCTGGCAACCGCCAAACCCAGACTCGTCCATCGGATTGCCAGATGGAGAAGAATGATTTATCACTCCAGAGAACATGTCTCCACTGCTCTAGAGTCCAGTGGCGGTGTGCTTTACACCACTGCATTCGACACTTTGCATTGCGCTTGGAGACGTAAGGGTTGGATGCAGCTGCTCGGCCATGGAAACCCATTCCATGAAGCTCTCTACGCACTGTTGAGCTAAGGCCACATGAAGTTTGGAGTACCAGGATTTTCATTTACAAAATTATTATTGATATTTTCTATTTTTATTAGTGTTACTGATTACTACTGATTTATAGTAATACTTTATTAGTATCAATATTTATACTAATCAGTAGTTGAGCTGTAAAAAAATTACGTAGTTAACTTAGCAATTCTCACTCTGGAAATGCACTTGGCAGCGCTGCCTTTTTATTTTAGTTTTACCTTTCAATTCATTTAAGTAGTAAGATGATGCCCAAAGAGTAAGCTCCGATTTTCAGCATCATTAACTTAAAATATCTCTCACTGGTTAAAGCTGGTTATCATGCCTTTTTTCTTTTTAAATACAATCCACAGATCCTACTGTATTTTTAGCCTTCCCCACAGCAGGCAAGATTACCATGTCCTGCAATCATCTCCAGCCCAAACTATGCTTTAAAGCTGGCCATAAAAAGTTCAAACAGGAAAAACACAAACATCCGCATGCTGTACCAAACGCCCCACAGCATAACCATTGAAAAGTGAAAGAGCGCAGTTCTACATAATAGCCTCGTCTGTAGGTGCAAACATGCTCTGCCCTAAAATCCCGTAATATGAAAGTCTCACATACAGTTGGAAATAAAAAAAAAGTGATAATAGACATCTTAAGTGATCATATCTGTCCAATCTGGATGCAAAGAGGAGAGTGGTTCTTGTCTTTTAATGAGTTAATACTTTTTTTTTTTGTTTTGTTTTGGGCTGAAAGGATGTCACCCCTTGGATCCCCCGTCATATTGATCATTTTGATGATATTACAACACAACACTTTTTTAGGTTATAAGATAGACATCCTGACCAGATATGAATTTGACTGCAGATATGGCTAGGATGACACTTATTAATAATGAAACTGTAAGTGAAATTTGCATACACTGATTTTTCATATGGAATTGTGGTGAATAAGGGCTACTTACTGCTGAGATTGGGTGTGATGGTACAGTACCTGAATGGGTGTTGGGCATCCTGTATCTTCCTTGGCTGATCTGCTCTCTAAGGCTGCTGTAATTGCATCCATCAAAAGGCATAAAACCATAAACTAGAGCATAGAGCAGTACACCTAGAGCCCAGCAATCCACCTGCATAACACACAAGCACATAAACTTACAATATACACGTTCAGAACAACATGAACAACAAAAACATGTATGCCACAGTTGTGTGAATGCCTAACTAGTCTTGTATGATTTTCAGTGACGGTGCATGTGCTGCTTGCACGGGGGGCCTGTGGAGCAAGTGGCTAAAATGCTGAAATTGATGCAATTTTCACAAGGCCGTGTAGAGTGACTGAGTCATTTCCATGTCCCAAGAGAAAAAAAAGACAAAAATACAGAAAGATTTTATACGCAGTACTGTGCAAACGTACAATTAAAAGCTATTTATCTGAGCAATAATTTTAATTTGCTCAGAAAAACACAAATATTAGAATAAATACACAGAATGTTCATGCAATTGTATTTTTTTCAGTGTGTTGTTTAACTATTTCCAAAAGTCTCCTCAGGGCAGCCCAGTTTTACTTGGCTAATCAACCCTTCATTATGTTATTTCCAGCGTGCTGGCGATGGAATTCATTAAATCCAACCAATAGCTGGGGGCTTCCATGAGACATCTGAAGCCAAACTTTTTCTTAACTGGCTCCCAAAATATCAACTACTTTTATGCAAATGAGAACTTTGTGTTACTTTTCCTGATTTCTGTTAATTTGCATTTGTACTAATGTCATACTGTGATTTTTACAAGCACCAACACACTTATTGAAGAGATAAACAGTTTTAAAGAAGGTGCCTTGAAATGTCCTTTGCACGAAAAACTCAATTATATCCCTAGTCAACTTCAGTAACTGAGTATCAATTCTCAGCATACCTACACATACATACACATCTGTATGCACAGGTGCCCAGTGATGCCCCATCACAAGGCCAAGCTCAAAATTGAGGCTTGAATCTAGAAACTTTATGAACAAATGGCAAAAATCAAATAAAAAAAAGCTAAATCAAACAAAAGAATTTTAAGCAGTACCAAAATCTGAGGTATTAGAGGCACATAAGCACACCTCTGGGCCTTGGTATGGCAGTCCATTGATGATCTCTGGTGATGCATAGAGAGGGCTTCCACAAAATGTCTCCAGAAAATGGCCTCTCTGATATTGGTTGGACAAACCAAAATCAGCAAGCTAAGAGAAAGGCAATGGTTGAGAGGCATTTAGTGTTTTACCATTGAAAAACAAAACAGAAAAGTCCTCACTTCTTAAAATATGTACCAAAGGTTGCACTAATCCATGTCCAATAAAAGTCTTTTCACTGAAAAAATTTAAATTACTTGAATATTGCAAAAATGTTACAAAAATAAAAAAAAACAAGGTTTGCTGTTGTTCGATTTCTATTAATTAAATATCTAAGGTTTTATTACTCAATTATTTGTTTAACAAGGATTAAACAGGTATACTGCTTTATACATGACATCAAGCTTAAAGCTTAACAGCCTCAAGTTGCATGTTTCACGGTCGAAACAAACTTGTTAAGGATTGAAATTGATTACTTAAAATTAATCATTACAGCTTTCTGTACTTGAGTACTATTTTACCATTGTTTTGTTTGTTTGTTGCATATTACTGAATTACTGAATTGTGGCTTTTGATGCAATTTCAATTTCAACAGTTGAGTATAAAGAATAGTTCATCAACTGAATAGATAGTTCTGTCTACTGTAGTTTTCAATTTACCTTGACATTTAAGTCCTGGTCCAATAAAATGTTCTCAAGTTTAAGATCTCGATGAACCACACCATTCTGAAGAAGAGACAGAAAGATCAGTATAGCAAAGCAGGCTAGCTGAGCCTTTACCAACTCTCCCCTATTGATTATTTTCCACATAAATTAGACGTTTTTTAATAACCTTTATTTTTTTTCTCTAAGAAGTTAGTTTGTCTTTTTTTGTTGTACGCTGCAAGTAGTCCAAATGTGAACTGTGTTAGTATGTGAAGTCTGAAATCTTTTGATCCACAAAAGGTTTGAAAACAAGATTATGAAGATTAGAGGATTTGCCACATTTCAATACTGTACATTTGAAAACATGTTTTAAGAAAGTAATTGGAATGTTCAAATACCTGAGTAATGACTGGCTTTTGTGAATTACAGTAAGAATTCTCATGTTTATATCGCAGTTTGTTTTAAGCACGACTTAAATGTGCTATGTGCTTAGAAGTCCATATATACAGTACTGTACAAAAGTCTTAAACATCTTAGGCAAAATAATATGTAAAGCTGTTTATCTGTGCAGAGTGTTTATTTGTTTTTTAAACACTAAACAATAATAAACAAATAAACAATAAATTGTATTAAATTTTAAACAGATTTTATATGCATGAGTGTGTTAGCTTAACTATTTCTCTCCTTAAGGCAGCCCAGTATTTTACACTTACCACCCAATAACTAGTTTATCTAATCAGTCCTTCATTAAATTAAATCTGATGTGCTGCTGATGGAATTGAACAAATCTACGCAATGGCCGGTGTTCACCCAGAAGTCTTTTAATGGTATTTTTTAACAAAGATATAATTTTTTTTCTGAATTTACATTTACTTGTACACTTTCTAGTACAATATTATAACATGCAAAGCACCTAACTTTTTTTTTTAATTTAATTAAAAGCTAAATTAAAGAGATCTTATATTGTAAGTTGAACTGATAAAACGGTCAGTGAGTGTAGAAACGAGCAGGTACACTTAATGAAGTGGCTGGTCGGTGTATATATGATGTCCATTTGTATATATTGTTTTGTTGGAGTATCTAGTATTTATTGTAATGTGTATTTATTGTTCTGCATATTTATTGTCTGGTGTATTTATTGTATATTCTGCACTTGTTTCACACTGTTATGTATCTACACTCTGTGTAGTGCTGTGTAATGTGCTGCTGTTGTGTGTTGCATCGTGGGGCCTGAAGAACATTTTGTTTCAATGTGTACATTCTGAGGAATGACATTAAAGACCATTTGACTTAACGTGTATGTAAATGCTTACTTTGTGGCAGTAGAGCACTGCGGAGGTAATTTGGCTGAAGAAGTGTCTGGCCTCTTCCTCTGTTAGCCTTCCCCTCTTCTGAATGTATTCATACAGCTCTCCTCCACTTGCATACTCCATCACCATCACTATCTTCTCTCTGCTCTCAAACACTGAACAGTGCAAATGGATTCAACTTCAACACCTTAAACTGCAGCTTCACCATTCGGGCTCTCTCACTATTTGGTACTATGAATTGTTCAGTAAGTACTATAAAACTAATATGAAAGTAATGTAGTCCTGAGAATAAGGAACAGAAGTGTGAAAAGTCCTTTTAAGAGTTTAGCCAATAATTTAGATAGGAGGAATGAAATGAAAAAAAAAACAGTGACAGGAGGCTGGAATATGCAAATGAGCTTTCTAACCAATTCCGTTTTTTTTGGAACACATTGACCAATCACATTTCTAAATAAGTGTTTCTGTGCTTGTTTTCAGGAATTAAGGTTTCTAAGTAATAAAAAAAATAGTTTTGGCCAAAATAATGCAGGCCAATGTCGCATTATTGAATAATTAGAGCTGTTTTAACACACTGGACAACATATTCAAAACACATACATTGATCACCTGTATTTAGCGCATGGCATGTAAAGAATCTAAAAAAGTACTCAATAAACATCTTCTTTGCAATCACTAAACTTGCTGCTAAAGCCTGAGTAGAGTTGATAAATCAGCATGATGATCAGTTATTTAACTTAGCGTTACTAAACTCTTTTAAGACACGATGGAACTGAACAGTCGCCTCAATTGTGTACATGTTCATGAGTGATAAGCTTAGCATTAGTGTTGTACCAGACTTGTGAATAAGTTTCGTGGCAAGTTACATAAATGTCCTTCACTAAAAAATAACATAGTCACTTTGTTTATAGTCAAATTTGCAAGACTTTGTTATTGGAATATAGCAAATTGTTTGCTTAGTTTATGAGATGACAGTGGGATTATAGAAGTTGCAGTGGACTGAAGCAGGCGATGACAGCAAACATAATATTGAGAATTTTTGTAACTTCATTTAAATAAGTGAATTTTTTATGAAACACGTTAACACAAGAATTACATGAAGAAAGCTGCCAACGAGTAAAAGCAAGGAACAGTGTGAATTAAATAAACAATGGCTGATTTTTTCCATGTGCCTTATCAATATGTATTCTAAATGTATTTTGAATGTATGTATTGTACTGGGATATGTTACTCAATACATTTAAGACAGTGTTCTGCTCAATTCTGATAGTAATATAATCACAATACTAGTATTGTGTCTATACCATGCATGCGTATATGAATGCATAGCATATGGCAGAGTCAGACATTGCAAATCCCTGGTCAAATTACATGTTTTGTTGAAGTGAAAGTAAGTACACATCCTCTACAGAGAACACACTTCTGCACATTTTAATGCACAATTTTACTTTTTATTAGCTGAACATTTTCTGAAAAACAAACGAGGCCTCTGCAAAAGTTATGTTGTTAAATAATGAATTCTAATTGTATATTTATATAATTACACATATCATATTTAAGTTTATTCCTTGAGGGATATTAACTTATTTTTACTTAGAAAATCAACAAAGCATTTTTGACCAGAGGTGGTCAAACTTTAAGAAGAACTGTAAGAATGCACAGTGTTTAATGAATTGTGTGTGCGCGTCTCACCCTCATAGATCTGAATTATGTTTGAGTGTGACAGAGAGGATATGATTTCTATCTCTCTTTTGATGTGAGCTCTGTCCAGATCATCACTGAGCCTCTCCTTCCTTATAGATTTAATGGCCACCTGAAACACACACATATGCAGCTGTTACATCTGGAAGCCTTACAAGCACACACACAGTTAGGGTCCATACTCAAAAACGAAATAAAAACAGAAACTAAGTTAGGTTTGACAACAAACTTGCCCTACATTTTAACATAAGTGTTTCCAAACAGAATAAGACCAATAACACTTTCAAGGGCAAGCCAAATGAGGTCAACATTATAAACAGCTAAAATTAACCTGTGTAAGGGACACTTAAGTTTTCCAACTGAAAGAACTAAAGCAATCCAGCAAAGTGGCTGATACCAATAAAATAAATGTAACATGAGTAATGAATGGGTCAATATAAAACATGCTGTGAACAAGAGGCTTATAGGTGGTATTTAATGCCACCTATAAGCCTCTTGTGTTGGCTATGCCAACACTAATCATTTCCATTTAAGCAGTTAACTGCTTTAAAAATACTGACAAATATGACTGTCAAACAGGTGTTTCATTTTACTAATACTTCAAACCAATATTATTTATTGTACTTTGGAGGAGCATAATATTTAGGTGCTATATCTCCATAACCCTAATCCAGGTAGATGTAGTCCCAATTTCTACATTTTATAAATGTTTATGTATGTACATTGGCATCGACAGATACATACATGAAAAACATCAGATATTATCTCACAGTTCGCATATTGGTGCATCCCTTATTGTCAACACGTGTATGAATGTCTGCACCACACCATGGTACAATCACACTACATGATCCTTAACATTCCAACAAGGCAACAATCATTTCACTTCATTCAGTTCAGTAAGGGTTCTCAGTTCACATTAAAAATCACACACAGACTGGAGGAACAACAATATAAATAAACACAGTATTTTATATTTGGGTATGAATCAAAGACACTAAACAGTTGGCTAAGTGCACTATTCTAGTTTACTGGCAGCACACAAAAGTGTATTTTGATATCTACTAGTAATGGTGCTTGGAAGCCTCTGTTGTTCCAGTTGGAAAAACTTGCCTGCCAGTTGTATAAATTCCTGATCGGGATTTTAAACAGTCACAGACAAACAAGTCTGCTGAAGAAGCCAATTAGTCACTTCTCAGATCGCAAGCCACATACTTTGTTGTTTTTGTGACCTACATACAGTATCCTCTCCCCGCTGTGCGAATATGTGTGCATGGTAGGTGGGATAAAAAAGACTGGCATTCGTCCTTTGCCTCAGCGCACTAAGCCCTCTGTTAGTTGATCTGAGGGGTATTGTTCAACTAGCTGGCACGTGAAGGACTATCTGACTGCTTCACTGTGAGGGTCTTGCGTTGGCTACATAATCTAACAGGAGCTCCTATTCAAAGCTGACTTTTCCTTGGCCAAATATTTGAAGTCTATTTAAGCATTGTTTTATTTAAAGTGAATTTATTTCAATGGACAGACAACATGTGTTGTTGCAAATTAATACGGTGAAACTACAAATACTATTATTCAACAAGATGAGGAAAAGCATCCCTACAAGATGATACTTCCATCCCCATTCTTCACTGTTGGGATGGTATTATATATATTTTTGTACTTTTTTCACAGAACTTGAAAAAAAGCTGCACTTTACAACTTTCTAAAATTTCACAATGAATGGACCAAAAGTTGTAAAATTACTTAAAAAACCTAGTTCCATTAACTTCCATTCAAACTTGTTTTTTTCTGACATTAACGATATACATACATACATACATATATATATATATATATATATATATATATATATATATATATATATATATATATATACACACACACACACACACTCACCAAGCATTTCATTAGGAACACCTCCTTGTATCTACACTCATTGTCCATTTTATCAGCTCCAATTACTTGTGTGAGCACTTTGCTCTCCTACAATCACAGTTCGTCTATTTCTCTGCATGCTTTGTTAGCTCCCTTTCACCGTGTTAGTCAATGGTCAGGACCCCCTCAGGGCCACCACAGAGCAGGCATGATTTGGATGGTGGATTATTCTCAGCAAACCAGTGATTCTGACATGTGTTGGCATGTTAGTGTGTGTTGCGCTGGTGTGAGTGGATCAGACATAGCAGTGCTACTCCTAACTTGCTGGTCCACCTTGTAGATGTAAAGTCAGAGACGATAGCTCATCTGTTGCTGCACAGTTCGTGTTGGTCATCCTCTAGTCCTTCATCCATGGTCACAGGAGACTATTGGCTCGATATTTTTGGTTGGTGGACTATTCTCAGTCCAGAACTGTGTCTGATCCACTCGTACCAGCACAACACACACTAACACGTCACCACCGTGTCAGCGTGGTGTGTCGAAATGAAGCAGGCAAATCAGACTTGTCAGACAGATGTTTTCATTGGTTGGTGGTCCTCTATGTCTATGTCAGAATTCATGTCAATAACAAGCTAGCTTGTCAGGCACATTTTCTATACAGCCATGCTGTTATTTCCATCTATGACACTGCCAATCCACTCTGGCCCTAATCTGTAGTCAGACACCCCTTCACCTCCCCCCACCAGCTCTCCCTCAGTAATATCGGTGTTTCTCTGCAGGAATTCTCACTATGCAGGTTTCTGGAATACCTCTTGCTCCCATTCAAGATGACAGACAGCGGGAGCACTGACCTGTTCCCCCTAATCTGATTACCTGCTAAGATTATCTCCATTAATAGCATATTTGTTTTCTAGACAGTAAAAGGAGAGACATCAGGAGGGGGGTCTGTTTTGTTTTGAGTAATCGACAGATTGAGTGATCAAAGTGATGAATCCTGATAAACAACAGATGGTACATTAAAGACACACAAAAGGACACAATCAATCCTTTCTCACACACTAAATGACTGAGCTCTGCATGAATTCAGTGTTTGCTCAGTGACAATTTGAAGAAACTGTAAGACTTCATAAGTTGTATACATTCTGCAACAGTCAAAAACATACCCTTCATGACTCAGCAAAGGAAACGATTAAACCTCAAAAACATGCAGCTTATCCATTTAATGATCTTAAATGAATGTTTTCCCAAACTGTGGCTCCTGTGTAACCTGAGAGGAAACACATGACAGCCTTTGAATGGGATGTTATGACTTAAGACTGCACTTCAGAACATCAGAAGTATGTGTCTGCATTATTGTCATTCTCACACCAAATTACAGAAACCGAGAATAACAGAAACACCTTTCTAGAGGAATGGGCCAAACAAACTCGTAGCAACTGAAACAGGTTGGCATTAACAGCACAAATATATTTCATAAATGGCAGCAGCATCCTATTCTGTATTCCGGGCTGTCACTATTGATTGATTTAAGTTCGTTTTAAAAATCGTATCTTCTCTACAAATTCGTAAAGATCACTTGGGCACTTGGCAAGATAATTGTGCATATTTTAGACCCTCACATTAGCCTCTCTTACAGCAAGAAAGAAAAGCCGATACACTTATTTCCATGCATTTCTACCAAACAGTGAAGTTTACATATTTTAATTTTCTTTTTGTTTACCTACCTGTTTAGACTTATTTAATACTTAAGTATTTTGGCGTGTTTGCTATGGCTACGAAAGGTTTGTTAATGTTTTGTTGTTAAAAAGAAATATTTTTGGCCTTTTGGAAAAGCACATGCAATTGCTCGATTAATGGTCAAAATAATTGCTAATATAATCAACAATGGTAGCCCTACTTAAACAGAAAAAAAAGGAGCTCTGGGTCGAAGGATGACAATAATGAACTCATGCTGAGGACTGGGCTATGTGTGGTGATTTTTCACTCACCGTTTTTCCGCTTTGTTTCTCCACTGCTTTTTTCACCTTCCCATATGTGCCTTTGCCCAGAGTCTCCAGCACTTCAAATCGGCGCTTCAGGCTGTGTTTATGTTGGTGTGTCTTCACAGCAGCAGCAGAGCTCATTTTCACCAGAGCGGTCGCATGCGCGCTCTCACCTGAGGCGAGGCTGAGCGGTTCGTGGCGCGCAGACGCATCGCTCACGCTCTTCCCGCGTTCAGCGCGCTCTTGCCTTCCCATCGTCACGCAGAACTTTTACTCTTATAGTCTCTTTCTCTCTTTCTTGACGTTGTTCTCCGCTCCGTTGAAGATCAGCGCTTATGAGCATCACTCTCTCCGCACCCACCCCGTGTTCAACTACTGCCATTGCGCGTACCTCACCGTTCTCCCTCACCAAATCCACGCCAAAAACACACGGTCACGTAGTCACGTGAGTGGGAGGAGTCGTGACACGTCGTTGCAATGGTGAGCAGCTGTCAAATCCGTCTGGGGCATAGTGCGCTGTTTTGCTGGCAGAAAGGAGGATCAGCTCGACCCCAATCCGTCCTCTCGCAGCACAACACCAAATCATCCTTTATGAATTCAGCCCAAATCCAACTGGCGTGATGAATTTAAAGGCCAGAGACAGCAAACCTTCAGATATAGATTTCTATTGTAATTTTAGTAGGTGTATACTGGCTTACTTGTCATTTTCCTTTGGAACGGGGCCTTTGCTCTTTACGTATGGTTCCGGATGAGGGTGACTTGGTACATACTCAGCTAGATTTCATGTACTTTTTAGTTGAAAAATGAAATTTACAGTTTCCTATTCCCTCCAAAACACTTTTGGTGTCCAAATTTTGCCTTTTTAGCTTAGTGCTAGAGCTACAAGGCTAACGTTGCTAACAACACTAGGCCTCAATAGTTACCAAAATCTTTCCATAAACACATTTCCAAAAATTCACTTGACCTGCTCAAATCCTCTCTCATCCTGTGGCTGACCACACCGCTCAGCTCAGGGGCATAGCCACAAACCTAGATTGATCACAGGCCTACCCAATTAAGAAAATATTTATTAAATTGATTTCTTTAAGATAACGACATTTAATTTGTTTCCTGTGAGTGCTATCATTGTATTTTGTCAAATGATTATGCTCTAAGCTACGTAAATCATTACACTCACGATCCACCTTGTTTTCTCAGCCCTCCTATCACTGCTTAGCTACCGTACAGTGCCATTGCTTGAAGCCTTCAGTTTATCAGTGAAGCTCCAGTTGGGGTTAAAAGATGTAATTGGGGATTTTTGAGAGTGAGATTCTATCCCATAGAGTAGGCTGTGTCATTTTCTACCAATCCAAAGCCAAAAAAACTAAAAAACGTCATCATTATTTTTCTTCTAATTAGATATTTATAATGCTCTTTTACTACAAAAGCTGAAATGGGCTGCATCAAAAGTAAAATGTCAAAGTAAATGTCTAAAGCTACTTTAATGCATCGAGTGATCAAAGGTAAGACTGGTATGGACCACAAACATTTTTTCATGCTTGCCATAATATTCTTTTGCTTATAATGATTAGGTTTCGTTTTTTTAAGTTTGCTCTGTTGTTTTTCTTTGTCTATGTATATTTCAGCTGTCTTATTTTAATTTAGTTTTGTTGTCTTCAATGGGGAAATGTGCCTCTGTTGAATTAACATGCTAAAGTGCTGTAACGTTAGTGCTCAAGGCTGTTAGCCTGGCAAATAGATAACAGATTCGTCCACCGAATTACAAGAGGCCAAATGATTTTAATGATAGGAAAGTTTATTCAGAAGAAGCACTGTAAAGCAAACAAATTAAATATACTTATTTGTTAAGTTCACTTTGCAATATATATTATCAAGTAACACTATACTTTGTACAAAGAATCTAAGATGAGAGAATGTAGAAGAATCGCTGTTACATTAACAGTGTTTAGCTTGATGCTAATCTGAATGGAAATTCTCACAGACATGCTGGCAAATTAGCGCCATTTTCACTAGAGGTCGCCCTTGGGCAACAGCACATGCGTAGTCTGCCCAAAACAGCATCATATCCAACACACCACTTTACACTAAATGGACAGACTCAAGAATCTAGCACTTTTTAGAGAAGAAAAGGTCAAGCAGGTTTAATTCTTCCAACTCAACCCATTAGCAACATTAGCAAGTACTTTGAACAGCAAAAATAGCAAAGAGACAAGATAATATTTCTACATTAAAGTAAAATATTCACTAGGCTGCAGTGCTGATGGGATTTTTCAGTTTTTTTTTGTAAACCAAAGTGACAGTAAAGTAGAGAATGGTACATATGCCAGAGAATTAATATTTAGTTGTTTTTTTTTTCATCCTAAATGTTAGTAAAACTGTCCCCCCTCTTTATTGGTACCTTGTGAAAAGTGACATGAGTGGAGCTTTTCTGCACAACTTCAAGTTGAACATTTTCCACAAATTGTTTTGCAAATTTAGAAAATGTGCAAAAAAAAAAGCAAAGAATGGAAAAAGCCAGAAATTCAAAAACACCCAAATATCGCAAACAGAGTTTTTCGCTAGGAGGTGGAAAAGAATATCGAGAATATCACTAAAGCCAAAATGCGAAGAAGATTGATGAAAAAGATGACATATTAAGTCGTGAGTGAGAAGTGATTGACTTTTTTTCATATGGTGCTCGGCAAGGAGTAGATGGTTGTTTCACCAACTTATCACGCTGAAGACGTGCTGACGTGTAGTTTGGACTCCTAGGTTGTTGTGTGTTTGGTGTTCTCAAACCATGCTGGACACATCCTTAAATTTTGCCAACTATGACAAATATGAAATGAAACACCTTTCTGTGGTGAGCTGAAGTGATAAGGACGCCTATATTTCTGAGGTTAATAACTGTCTGTAAGGCAATAGCGGAACTACTTTTACCCAGCATTTACACACTTCCGTTTCTTATGAAAAGGGCCTATCATGGTAGCCTACATCTAAAGTTTCTTTACACACATCTTAATACACATTCTGCTGAAATTTCATAAATGCGCATAACATTTGTGAAACGTTTGAATGGAGACCCAGCCGTGGGTGGATTCCTTGCAGTTCAGACACAGATTTTTGGTGGAACATGGCCTGCTGTTTTAACGCAGCCCGTCTCATTGGTACAAAGGTGGGGCACCAAAAACACTGCAATAGGCCCTTTCACTAGAAATGGAAGTGTGTAAACGTTGGGTAAAACAAGTTCCACTATTGCCTTATGGACAGTTATTAACCTCAGAAATACTGGCTTTTGTTTCACTTCAGCTCACCACAGAAAGGTGTGTCACTTCATCTTTGTCATAGTTGGCAAGTCTGAAATTTGAGGATGTGTCCAGCATGGTTTGAGAACACCAAACACACAACAATGTAGGAGTCCAAACTACATAAAGGCTATAAATGCTGGAACAATGTGTTCATAGCTATCAGAGTACAATAACGTAAGCTAATGTCCTCAGAGTGATAAATCAATGGATAGGTTAAAAAACTATAAACAAAACGCTAGATATGCCATGTTAGCTGGAAATGTTGAAACAGCTTGCTAACAATAAACTGGTTTCTGATTAAACTAGGCAAAAAGCTAAACACGCACACATACCAGCAGGGGGCGTGCTGGGTCGTCAGGGTCTGTAGCACCACGTTTTACACAACCACCAGCTCCAGTGATCGAACACAGATGCTGACAGTTTTTGTTTGAGAAAATGAAAGCTGTCCCACTGAAAGCAACTGTAGCATGATTATCCCAAAAGTCTTAGGGGTCATCTAGATGTTTTTGGCAAATGCGAGACAAGCCCTTGTGTTCTTTTTGGTCAACAGTGGGTTGCACCTTGCAGCTCTCCCATGAATGCCATTTTTGCCCATTGTCTTTCTTATTGTGGAATTATGTACACAGATCTTAACTGAGACAAGTGAGACCTGCAATTTTTTAGATGTTTGTCTGGTCTCTTTTTCTGTCCTCCTGGATGAGTCGTTGATGCACTTTTGGTGAAATGTTGGTAGGCTAGCCACTCCTGCGAAGGTTCACAACTGTTCTAAGTTTTCTCTATTTGTTGATAATGGCTCTCACTGTGGTTCACTGGAGTCCCAGAGACTCGGCAATGGCTTTATAACCCTTTTCAGACTGGTGCATTTCAATGACTTTGTTTCACATCTGTATTTGAATCTCTTTAGAACATGGCATCATGTGTTTGCTTTTTGAAGCCTTCTAGCCTGCCTCACTTTGCCAGACAAGTTCTATTTAAGTGATGTTTAGATTCAGCAGGTCTGGCAGTAATCATGCCTGGGTATGACTCATAAAATTGAACCCAATAGTCAACCGCATTTGGTTAAATGGTTGATTTAGTGGCTAAACAGCAATTACTTTTTCACATGGGGCCAGGTAGGGCTGAACAGCATTTTTCCTTCAATCAATGAAATCATCGTTTAAAAACAAGATTTTCTGTTTACTTGGATTATCTTTGTCCAAAAATTAAAAGTACTTAGTAAATAGTGTCAGAAAATCGAACAGTAGCCTACCATGGTGAGTGAAGCTATGATAAACTGTGGAACACTCAGGAAAGAAAATGGTCAAACTATAGTGGTTCAATAGATTTCAGCACCAGCCCACACATAATCATTGCTGCTGTTCCCTGTATCCATATTAGCTCACTCATGAGTGTGTGCACATGGTGCTAGGAGAATGAGTAAGATACTGCTGCCAGAGGAGCTGCTGACTGAAATTGGAGTTAACGTTACTCTGAGTAGCATGCATGGGAATAAATTACAATAGTCCTATAAAGGATTTATATTTCTTGCTTTCCCCTCAACAGGTTTGTCACTAAGTAAAAAGGTCTCAGAAGTCACTAAGTATAGCAGCTCCGGCAGGGATACGCTCACCACAAAATATTCCATGTTTGTATGAGCCCATAATTCATATTAAATATTTTGGCAATAAAAAGAGACCTGAGGCTACAGAAAAAAGACCCACAGCCCAATAGCCAGACCCTAGGTTTATACTTGAAGCACTGTAAGTGGCGCAAGGCTGCACGTGCCAAAAATGGCGCAATTGCAGTGCATGGCTGTCAAATTGTCAAATTTAACTTGGTGCTCAATGCACACAGGATGCTTCCCTGCTGAAAAAGTCATAGAAAACATTAAAAGTTTCTGTTGGTTCCAATAGTCACTAATGGTATTCTGTGTTTTCTTGATGGGTTGATATCACAGTGTAAAGGATTCTAGTGGTTTAACAGGTGTTCTGGGACTGATCAGATGCATCTGATGGTTTCCTAATGGGATATAAAGGTGTCCTACAGGACTAGTTGTTTCTAATGGTAACTATTAAGCCAATTGCCATTAAAAAAGCAAAACCATCAGATTTTAATCCTACACACTTACAAATGATTGTTCAAGGGT